TGCTGGGAATGCCCTTCCCCCACTCCCACCAACCACCCTAAATTCTACCTGTCTTTGAGGTGTCCACCTCCCAAGATCAGTGTTATCTGATTGGATAGAATCCTGTAAAACCCTAACCTCATGTTGCACACCTACAGACATTTAATTATTTACTTGCAGTCATTTACTTAAAAGTCTGCCTTCACCTCACCTGTGAGCTCCTTGAAGGTAACAGCATGACTGTTCTGCTCATCGAGAACCTCCAGCCCTGGTCACTGGGCCCGACACAGAGAAGCTCAATATGTGTTAGTGACTGACTGACCCCAGTGCACATACTGGACCTATAAGAAAAACCGGTGGAAGGAAGAGAAAGAGCCAGAGTACACGAGAGGGAGGGAGGGAGGGAGAGGGAGAGAAAGCTGTCTGTTTGAGCAACCATTTCTTTCCATTTGGTGATGGTTCACAGGCTCACCACGGCGCAATCCCAGTTTCAAATTCTCAAACTGATTTCCCATAGGGTTGGGTTCATTGCAACAGGGAAGCAAACTCCTGACAAAAACAATAATTAAACTCTTTATATATGTATCTGTAACGGCAGTAAAAGTCCCCAGTTCTGGAGGACCAGGAAGAAGTGAGGACAGAATGATTTTCACATCACCCTGCTCTCTGCACACGGATCACTTGGGTAGTCTGGGAGCTCAGCACCTGTTTCGTGCTTCTACTCGCTCTGTGAGAGTCGGGTAGGAGCTAGGCTGCTGCTCAGAGTTCAAGGCCAGGGAGTAAGGGGGTAAGATCTATCCTGTCCAGTCAATGAGATCTGGGGGGGTAGGGGAGGAGCTTTATTTCCCATTCTCTTTTCTTTTTACCTATAAATTGAATAGATTGTCCCATGTTATTTCTTTACAGCCTTCGCAGCTGTGTTCACCCTTTCCCAGAGAAGAAATATTTACTGAACAGTTACATATGTCATGTACCATACTTGGTGCTTTCCAAGTGTGTTTTAGCTTTTACAAATGCCTGGTAAGTATCTGTACCCTCGTTTACTCCCCAAGAAACTGGCTACGAAACTTGTCCAACATTGCAGAACCGAAGAATATTGCAGCCCAGGACTGGAACCAATTGACATGTATTCAAAGGCCACTCTTTTTTTTTTTTTTATCCTCACCCGAGGACATTTTTCCATTTTTTTGTTCAGGTAGAGTGGGAGGGAGAGAGAGGAAGAGAGAGAGAGAGAGAAACATCGATGTGAAAGGAACACATCGAGTGGCTGCCACCCGCACGACCGACCAGGGCCGGGGACAAACTGCAACCGAGGTACGCGCCCTTAGCAGGAACCGAACGGGGGTCTCTCAGGACCGCAGGTCGACGCTCTAACCGCTGAGCCAAACCGGCCAGGGCCAAAGGCCACTCTTTTTTTTTTTTTTCTACTCCACTTCTCTGATTTAACTTTTGTGATCTATCAATACCATCTCTAGTTTTAAAACAATCACTAATGCTTATTGGATGAAACAGAATCATCCCAGCGTGTTCTAATGCAGGGGAAGGTCTACACAGAGCAGAACTCAGTTATTGCTGTTGGGCTGATGCTCTGCTGTCTTTCCAGACAGGAGACTCCCTCTCACGTGAAAAACAAATCTGGGCCATGACAGGGGTTTGATAGGAAACAGCCAACCACTTTCAAACATTGGGATGAGTTTTCATCTGGGAATTTTGTTCCTTTATGAAATTCTCCTAACTTCATAATGTTTTTGGCTTATAATTTACAGAAGAAAGAATTTTTGTGCACACGAGAAATGTAGACCTTGGAATGGAAATATCATGGCATTGAGTGCAACCCGGTGAGACAAAGTCCTGGCTCATTTATTTTAAGAGAAGAAGGCAGGAAGCATCCGTGAGTTCAGAGCAGCTGACAACACAGGACAGAAAGCAGAGGTAGCATCCCGGGGAGGGGCAGCACCCGCAGGGAGAACTTGGGGCTTAGTGAGCCCTGGAGTGTTATCTGCCCCTGCCTCTAAGGAAGCCAGATAGGAACATTTCAAGGGCAAAGTTGAGAGTGAAAAGTGATATTCAATCTCAGCAGCCTCTGCATGACTCTCAGCAGGAGTACTGTGATACCATAGCAGTGACCCCATACACGGGGTGGGATAAGAGTAAAAGCAAAGACTGTTTTGCCATCTCCTTTAAACATGAACAAAGAGAAGCCGAGAACATTGTGTCAAAAATCTCCTAACTCTGCAAGACTCCTGTGCTCTCTCCTCAGTGAGTAGTTTCCCACCTAAACATGATATCTTTGGGCAGCTAGAGGCGACATTGGTCAGAAAAGCGCAGAGATCACAGCTATGTTTTCTTATCTTGATGGCCAAGTTTTAGAGCACTTTGAAGTGTTGCCCCAGTCACGCAGAGAGAGAAGCCACCATGCAGACAAAATGTGAGATTTCGTTAGGGGGTTGTTTTTCCCCCCAGCTCTTCAAAGGTCTCTGTTTGAGCTCACCTGGTAGCACAAAAGCTATTAAATCACTTGAATGAGAGGGTCAGGTTGCAAGCTGTGCAAGGATGGAAGCGGCAGGCCCTGCTCAGACCACCCAGCTCTCCAAAGGGGCAGCAAAACCAGATTCAGACAAGATAAGAGGCTGCCCTCCTATGTAACCTGGCCCAGAGGAACAGCCTTTCCAGAGAGGTGCGGGATCCCATGGCGAGGAGCGACAGTGTGCTCTGTAAAGGTGGCATTTGTCTAACTCACTATACTGGTGGTCTTGGTTCTTTGTGAGAGAAAAAAAAATTAAAATATTTTTTTTTAAAAAAGCAAAGCAATACATTTACTCTTAGGGACTGTTCTCAAAGCAAATGCTAAAGAGTTCCCATTCTACTGTATGCCAACTATACTTTAAAAAAAAGAATTAAAAAGAATAAAAAGCTCCCATTCACCAATAACTGAGTGTAGAAGACTGAGCCACACCCGGCAGTCAGAGACCAGAGCTGGAAGGACACCAAAACTCACCCAGTTCAACTCTTTAGTTTTATTGATGGAAGAAGTGCCGCTTAGAGAGATTGTTAGGTGGCTCATCCGAGATTGATTAGCAACAGCTAAGATCGTAAACATGGTGAGCACACACCCTGCCCCTACCATTGACACTGGTCATTTCGGAGTCCTTGGAAATTAGCACTGAGCCTGGTATGTAGCAGGCACCCCCAAATATTTGGAATGAGGAGAGGGTAAAAGGAAGGAGAGCTGATGAGCACATCCTATTTTCTTTTTACTCTAAATAAACAGCGCCATAAACATACAGTGCCATGTAATGTCCCTGGGGATGGGGATGGGGGTGGGGGCTGAATTCTTACTTTTCATTTGTTGTCAAATGAGGACCGAAACATGATGGACGAATCGCTTCCCTTTTCTCCTAAGCCATGTGGGCTGCTCCCATCTAAACTTCGTTTCTGAGCGTTAGACTGCTCCTGAACAGACCCAAGAAATCTAGCTGAGTTCAGCCTAACTCCACCTAGTCCGTCCCAACAGCAGAGCATCCCCAGAGGCTGATACAGAAGTAAGAACAGCTCTGGGCTTAAAGTTTACAAGACAAGCATGGCTTGGCCATGTTTGTGGAAGCAGGTCAAATCATACAGCCCAAAAGGTGGAGGCAGGGGAACACAGTGTCCAGTACCTTTGTCCAACTCCTTTCTTTCTCAAAGAAATGGAAAGGCAGAGATGAAAAGGGGAGCAAGAAAAAAAAAAAAGATGGGGTTGGTGGGAAAACTGATTTAAAAACCCTCGTTTGTCATCCAAGCATGCAAAACCACGTTCCACATAACTTATGTTCAACAGCAGCTCAAACTCAAGTTTATTAATTAGATATGAAGTTTACTATTAACCAAGTACATGAAAAGAATTTAATTGCCAAGAACAATGTACAGCAGTGCTTATCCGAGTGTGATCTCCCCTGCATCAGATTCACCTGGGTAGAATCCCTGTCCCACCCCAGAGCTCAGCTTCTTTGGGGTGTGGCCCAGGCACCTGCCTTTCCCCGAGCACCCTGTTGGTTCTCAGGCATGCTGAGCTTTAAGAGTCCCTGACGGAGTGAAAGAGCAAAGGTAGTTAACATTTTCCTAGAGTTCTGCAGGAGGCACTTTGATCAAGGGCAGGCAGGAGTAACTCTTCAAGCTGCAACCGGCAGTATCGGTTTTCCAGAGCAGAAGCCTGCATCACTAGGTCTGGTCTGCAGAGCAGCCCTGAAGAGGTTAATCCCTCCAGCAAGATTCCCAGGCCATAAACTCCGACCAGCCTCCGGAAATGCTCTTTAAAGCTTTGTAACTCATGGCACGCACAAGACTGAGAGCAATAGTAAAAAGGCAGAAATAAAGATTAAGTGCCTTAAAAATTATTTCTGTATCCGGATGAAAACTAAAAGAAATGATTTACTACAGCATCAAAACCTCTAGACCAAATCTGGATAATGAGCAGAAAGGGCTTAGAAATCAGTCTAAAACTTCAGAACAATATTTCTTTGCTTCTCCAACACTCTCTCATCCCCACTAGAAAACAAGCCATGCTTTAAAAATATATATACATCCAAATATAACTAAACTAAAGCAAAGGAATCTAAAAATCATTTCCAAATTTCATTATCTGTTTACCATGAGGATATTATCTGTTTTGTTGAATTTTGCATCTTTTCCTTTGCCAGTTCAGTTAGCTGAGAAGAAACATCCTCATTTTGGTGCGGGGGGGATCACAAAATTTAAAAATGATTATTTCATTCGCAAGTGCCGTTGGAAATGGATTCAGGAGAGTTAGACATTTTTGTTACATAATAAAGAGAATCCCACTTTGGGTGTGTGGCTTTTTAACACTGCAAGTGACCACCTTCTGTGTTCACACGAGCATTAGACTTTTCCAGCACACTCCACGTACTTCTTGCACTATTTCTTGGAGTTAATGCTACCACCGCACACACAACGTCTGGGGCATTCTGCTAACAGAACACTCACAGTTAAGATGAGAGGAAGTACATAAAGCAGATACTTACAGGTAGTGGTTTTCCTTTCCAAGCCCCAAAGTTAGAGACCCTTGGCGGGATCACAGTCACTGACCGGTTAATCTCTGGTTTAAAGAGCTTTGAGAGGAAGGGGGAGGAAAAACAACCCAGGGAGGGAAAGAGCTGAAATTCCAGTCTTTCAGGTCAGCTGAGTTTGAACTTTCTTTGTACTAAAAGTCCATTAGCCCTCCCAACAAGAAAATATAGAATTGAAATTCAGATACACACTTCACTGTCCTGGCGGGTCCTCTCCAAGGCTGCTGCTGGTGCGGTTCTGCAAACTTCCCGACGGCCGGCCGAGCCTCAGGTCGCCCCCTGAGCAGGCAGATAGAGGATGCCACTGTCCGCAGGGAGCCCGACCTCCCTGGCAGAGCCACGGCTCGTCAGTCCCTTCTGCTGGCTGGGTCCGCGGGGACAAAACTGAGCTCTTGTTAATGAGATCGGTTGCTTCTCCTCCTTGTCTCTCCCCAGCTTCCTTTCTCACTATTAGTTATGTGCTAACTGCTCTGCCACTGGCTGAGCCGAAGCTCCTCTCCCGCCCGCAGCTCTCTGCACACAGACGCATCTCACACACATGCACATGCGACATACACAGTCTCACACACATAACACACAGGTGCACACATGCTGTACCCACACAGGCACCCACAGGCGGCACACCCACACATGAACACATCCGCAGACATGCACACGCATATTCACACACCTTCACACCCATGTGCGTGCATGCTCACACATACAACACACACACAGGTACACACTCACGCCCACCCACATTCACACTCTCACAGCTATTTCCTGAACCTTCAAACTCTTCAAACACACTTTCCCCCCTGCACCTCTTTACTTCAAACAAATTCCCATTCTGAAAGGTTTTTATTCAATTAAGACAAGATGCTCAGCATTCATTCAGAAGACAGGAGGAAGGGGAACTGGCCCCTTTTAACTTTTGTCACAGCATTCAAAGGAGAAGTTCGGAGATTCTAGGGTTCTGTTTTTAAGTACTTGGCTCTTCAGATTATGAGTCTGGACCTTTTTATGAACCCACAAAGTCTCATTAATTTAATCTCATTTGCATATAGTTTATGACCCCACTGATTCAATATATCACAGGTCAAGAAATGTCCTCTCAACAGAGGTTCATTTGGTTAAACTTACCAGGGTTCAGGGGGTGAGAGTCTTTTTCCTTAACAACTGTGCACTAAAATGCTTTCCTGTATTTCATCTCCACCAGAAAAAAAAATAAAATGGCATACCGTCTGGTGTAACTTTCAGATTGACCATATATAGAAAAGTTGGAATATTATCTTACTTTGGGGAAAATGTTTATATTGAGACATGTCTGGCTATTCTGAACCTTAGACCAAAGTACAGGGCACTATAAATCCAATTCATCCTAGATTGTGGATTCCTCTAACAAGGTCACCCCATCATACCCCTTTCCTGGGAAAAATGAGGAAAAGAAAGAGAAATGGAAAAAGGAAAAAATTAGATAAGGAAGAAAGAAGGGGGAAAATGAATAAGAATGCAAAAGAAGAGAGAAAATAAAGATTTTATTTAAAAATGTGTTTTATAGGTACTTCAGCAATGACTGCTACATATCTTACTAAAAGTCATAAATTTTAAGTCTTCAAGAATCTCTTGATTCATTCATTGCTCTGAGAATAAATGTGTGAAATTTCTTGAAGAATCTCTAAGCTCTTTATAGGTAAACAAACATTGTTTACTAAACACAGTTATTAGTAAACAAAATATCGTCACCATGTATGATTTGTGTACTAATCTTGAAAGGATAAGAAATAAAGCCTTAGGACACCAGAAAACATAACGTGACAGACAATTTTTTTCTCAGACTGAATTTAAAAATTGCCCGCCTTGTGAATAACTCAAATACAAAAAATGTGGATGATTCTAGATGCTATTAGTTAAGATACAAAATTCATTTGATAAGGAATCCTGGTAGGTAGCTGCACCAGTGGGCCTCTTCTAACATCTGGGCTAAATGAAGTTCATCAATTAGTCTAGAAACAGAAATAAATGTTTTATATCATTTCTATGGAAAAAATACTTCCAGCATTCTAAGCAAAAATAACAAACTTAGATTGTAATGCATTCTAAAATGTGTGCAGGAAGTATAATTTTCATAAAGTTGTTTATACACATAATGTTGGCCTAACATCTGTGGGACATATTCTAGAATAGGCCGAGTTAGGATTAGATAAATCACAATGTCTTGAAATCTGAAGTACCTGCTTATACTCATAAATCACTACCTTCTTATACAAATAAGTCACTCTTTTTCTTCTATCTTCCACAAATGGATAAGGGGTGTTGAAACAATATAATTATCAACTAAAAAAATACTCTTTGGACCCATTGAATTGCAAAGTCAGAATATTTAAAAAGAACTAGCCAAAGAAATAACAATGAGTTCTTTCCCTAAAAGCATGTGCTGCTTAACTTAGTGCTACAACAAGATGCACTTTAAGAAATTATTTTATTTCTAACCTTGGGGCTGGAGTGATATGAAATATGTAAAATGTCATTTCTTGGAGATGGACATACATTTCTGGATTGTAAACATGTATGATTTTGTTGAACTGCTGTAGAACATAGCATTCTCTGAAAAGGTGTTGGCATAGCCAACACCTTCACCAATAAACTCATATAAAGAAATTAAGAGTGTGTCTATTAAATGTGATGGCACCAAGCACAGAGCTGTTATTGCACTGGGAAGATGGTTTTCCACTGAGTCATGAAACTGGGTGGTTATGGGAAGCAATGTTGGGACAAAAGAAGACTATTAGTCCAGGAGAGGAAAAGACGTACATAACTATATTCTAAGTATATCAATTTAAAAACAACCAAGTAGATAAATGAAATCAAAATAAATACCTCTATGTACAAGAAAAGAACAGAAACACAGACAGTGAGAGAGTTTGGAGGTGGAGACTTGCTGACCTCAGATTCAGAGCTGACAGGACAGCTTGGAGGTAACAAGAAATGAAACACTCCCTGAGCAAGGCAGGAATAAGATCTGTACATTCCACTTAAAATCACAAAAGTACAAAGCAACATCACCTCTGTGCATAAGTGTAAAATCCTCAATAAAATATTTGAAAATCCAGTTATGTATTTTAAAAGATATTATGATCAGTAGAGTTTATTTCAGATTGCAAGGGTGGTTCAAAACAAAAATGTCTAGCGTTTTAATATATTAGAAGAGTGAAGTCCACATGTAATCTTAAGAAATGCAGAAGAGTGGTATTCAATAAAATTCAACACTCATTTGCTAAAAATAAGCAAACAAAAAACAACACTAGCCAACCAAAATAGAATGGAAGGCTCTTTTTACCCAATTAAGGATATCAGAAGTCTCATGCTTAATGGTAAAATTTTAGCAACCATTAAAGAAGAACAGGACAGAAATGCTCGCTATATTCCCCACAATTCATCATTGGATAGAAGATCCCAGCCAATACAATAAGTCAAGAAAAATAAAATGAGGCATGAGGATTGGAAAAGAAGAAAACAAACCTTTTATTTGTAAAAAGACATGTGTCTCTCTATAAAATATCTTTTGAAAATGTGATTGAGGTGTGAGAAGATGTTGCATAGGACAGGAAAGATATTAAATGGACCAGCTTTTCCAAACACATGCATGCCCATGCCAAGCAATATAGCTGCTAATAACAAAAAAATCTTCCTCCCAGCATTTTGTTCCATGTCTGGAGCTAATGATCTAACTGGAAATCTGAAAGAATGAAAGACTTAGGTCCTCTAATTTGATGAGGGCTAATACTCAAATCATGTGCTTCCTGAATCTAGTTGAGCAAATGTTTCCCATTCTCCGTAGTCAAGGCTATTTATTGCCTGTGGGAATGGAAACCTCAGACTAGAGATTCTACTCATTACATTGTCATTTCCACATGCGTTTACTAAATTCAGGCAGGAAATCAGAATAATCTGACTTATTCCATTCTACTTTGCCCTCACAATTGAAAATCAAACAGGCAATGCATTTTTCTTGTTAGTAATTAACTTGAACACAGCTTCCAAAGCATTAAGGTTTCTGCATATAATTATATGAAAAAGATCATCAGGAATCCTCTTTATCTCCATCTTTTACAGAAAAATACACCAAAGGCAATACACACAATTTAATTTTAAGATGTTTTACATTTCAACTATCTTTGTGAGATTTGGGAGTAATTTGTTCTTTCAAAGCTTAGCACCAGGAACAATTTTATCTTTCCAAGCATAACACAAGGAGTTAGGAGTCTTGGCTTTCTGATTTTGAGGAAAAAAAATCACCTAATTCTAGCTCTCTCAAAAGACAATGCATTTTTCATCATCAAAATCAAAATGAAAACAGTTGTTGCATTAAAAATTCATGGCAGCTTAGCCTAAGTCAGAACACTCTGAATGTAACAAAACAAAACCACAGGCAAAAGATGCTTTTTACATCTTAGGAGTAAATGACACAAACCTACTAACAAAAGATGAGGGTGAAGTCACACACTGGTGTGTCTCACAGGAAACAGAATGTGCTGATCTATTAAATTCCCTTCAACAAGGGTTATAGAATCTTCAACAAGATTCTGTGCTAATCATGAATGAGATAGAGACGAGTAAAATCAAGTGCCTGCTTTCAAAACCTTACAATCCAGTTGAAGAAGATAAAATTACATAACAAATATTGAGATATAATTAAGAATAGATAATGATTACTAAATAGGTACATCCTTATGCACATTTTTTTTCTTACATGCTTTTATTAATTCATTTAACCCTGACAACTCTAATACCTTGAGTGGATCTAGGAACTCAAACCATAGCATCAGTTATCTCTCCCTCTATTGCCAATCTCTGTCTCTGCTTCACTTTCCCTGTTATTTTATCCTGCTACATACAGGTATCTTGCGATAAGGAAGACAGCCATCTGCCCAGGACTACATTCTCATGGCTTGCGATCCCCCCAAAAAGAGAGTCATCTTGCATAATAGTCTCATCAGAAAAGCTCTAGTGCAACTAGGGAAGCAGTGAAGGTTATGAATACTGACACGTCATGGCAGCATGGAGTGGGGAAAGGTTTTCCAAACAGGAGCAGAGGAAGAGGGATGGGAAAACATCTGGGCAGGGCAGTCAGGTACCATGAGAAATGTGTAGTTCAATCTTTGAGGCAATAGGGAGCCACTGAAGGATTTTAAGGAGTAGAGGGACATGGCCCTAATCATCCAGCCGGTGAGTGAGCTTTGCCCACTGCCAAGAATCTTCGTCTCCCAAGACTTTGCTATTCTCACTTAATGCGTTAACTTTGATCTTCCTTAACTTTGAAGAAAGTACTCTCCCTCCATTTTAAAGAAGAAACTAAATGATATATTTAAAGACTTTGAATGTCAAGTGTCTAATGTAGAGCAACTACTACAAAATACTCTCTAAATATCTGTGAATGAATAAGTTGAACAGTAATATTCATTACATTTCTAGCCCTGTATT